TCTTAACAAGGTTAGAAAGGAGACTCACCTCGCTCCGAAGGACCATAACCGACATTCCACGCCCTTCCGAAGACTCGAATCGATGCACAACGCTCCAAAACTAGCCAATAATTATGTAAATCCATTAATATATGCTAAGGTACTCATTATAATCCAATTTATAACAATTCCTAACCCCGATCGAAAAGTTGACAAAAATGCCCTCGGGCCCAGGTGCCCGGAATCCAAAATTTTTCGAAGATAAAGATTACCCATGGCCTCACGAACTCAAATATATGATTTTCTCTAAATTCCATACCCAAAATCGTGGTCAAAATTCAAGAATACTAGTTTTCTAGGTTTCCCCTCAAATCTCAAGTTTTCTACAGTTTTCCAAGTCTAAATCCATATAGAAACCTTGTATATACTCAAAACTAGTAGAAATCACTTACCTCATGCTTGGTGATGAAAATGGCACTCCAAAGTTGCTCCAAAATCGGCTCCCATGGAAGAAATGAAGTGAAAATGAGCCAAACTTCGATTTTTAAAGAAACCTCTCTGCCTCCAGCAATTTCCGCATCTGCGGTCCCGCATCTGCGGAAAATTTCCGCATCTGCGGTCCCGCATCTACGGTTATGACAGCAACCAACACTTTTCTCGACACGGAAATGAGCATAACTCCCTCATACGATGTCCAAATTCGACGATTCTTTTTGCGTTGGCTCCGAAATTACGATACGGATCTAATGGCTCAATAAAAACTTAATTTGGAGCTCATTTGCTTAATATGGCACCCCTTTATGTCCAAAGAAACGACGTTGAAACATCAAATAAGAGCGCGATACAACCCGAAACACACCCGAGGCTCCCGGGACCCCGACCAATCACACCAACCAATCCCAAAACACATTACGGACTTGCTCGAGGCCTCAAATCACATCAAACAACGCTAAAATCATGAATCAACCCCTAATCCAAGCTTTATGAACTTTAGAACTTCCAACTTCTACTTTCGATGCTTAAACCTATCAAATCACGTCCGATTGACTTCAAATTTTGCACAGAAGTCATATTCGACATTACGGACCTACTCCAACTTTCGGAATCGGATTCCGACCCCGATATCAAAAAGTCCACTTCCGGTCAAACTTCTCAAAAACGTTCAAATTTCTATCTTTAGCCAAATGGCTCCAAAATGACCTACGGACCTCCGAATTCACTTCCGATCGCGCTCCCAACTCCAGAATCACCATACGGAGCTGCTCCCAGACTCGGAATCCCAAACGGACATCGATATCACTAAAATGCACTTCAACCCAAACTTATGAAATTTCTTTCAAAATGCTACTTTCCACAATAGGCGCCAAAACGCCCCCGGGTCATCCAAAACCCAATCCGGGCATACGCCCAAGTCCGGAATCATCATACGAACCTGCTGGAACCTTCAGATCCCGATTTCGGGGTCATTTACTTAAAAATTCAATCCTAGTTAATTCTTTCAACTTTAAGCTTCCGAAATGAGAATTCTCTTTCCAAATCAACTCGAACTTCCCGGAATTTAATTCCGACCACGCGTACAAGTCATAATACCTGAAATGAAGCTCATGGCCTCAGACTGCTGAACGACGCGCTAGGGCTCAAAACGACCGGTCGGGTCGTTACGAAATAATTTCCATTTTAGGGTTCTTATTTCTTGGTAAACTCAAGTTATTTAAACACACAACAGCAATTATCAAATACATTTACCAAATCTTATGTGGTCCTCATCCCCTTAATTGAAGCTCATCCAATAGAAAAATAGCGGTTAGAAAGAGTTGTACTAAAAGCTATTTAAAACTTCTAATATTAGAAATATATTTCTTAAAAGTTATGTGAACTAAACAGTGTTCTTGTTCTCTCTCCAAAATTTGTTAGTAAATCTACAGAATTACACACTAAAGAAAGAAAAATCTGTTTTTCTATCTGAACCCTTAACAAAATTTGATAATACATGCTAAGTTTTTGTTTTGGGTCCCTATTGTGAGTTCAGTTTACTAACCACTTAATCGATGGGAAAATGACATCATACAATCACTCTTAAAATAATAGCCGAAAATATTATATATATATATATATATATATATATATATATATATATATATATATATACACACACACACACACACATACACACACACTTCTGTATGTTATATACAAAAAAATATACAAATTTTATACATTTTTGCGGCTATCGGATATAAATAATTTCGGCCGCTGGCTAAAAGTGATTAATGCCCTTGATCTATTTTAGTGAGAAATCTCATATGTTATCTATATATAACTGCATTAAATGCATGTCTTAATTTGTAAGAATTTTAATTATATCATTAGATCACCTTTAATTACCAGTTGCAATAGGTAATTTATCTCGTTTTCAAGAATACAATTTACATATACGAAGGAGACTTACCTATAGATATCCTCTAAGTGACCTTTTATACTGACAGTATATATAACTTGAACTCAGTCAAATATATATATTCCTTAGCTCAAACGTATGTAAGTCTCACCTTCCTTTATTTTTCTTTTATTTGATACTAGATCTGCCAAAACAGAATATATACTGTTATTCTAGTTAAGCCATTACATCTATTATATGACTATGCAAATTATATAAGACCTACTTTAATTCATATGAGATCTCATCTCTTTATAATCTAAATTCTTAACTTTCTTTAGAATCTAACAACCTCTCCTTAAGATGCTACTTAATCTGCATAACCGTCCAAATCAAGATTATGAAATTGGATCATGTATATTATAGAAATTCTTAGTTAGAAAAGGCTCTTTAAATTTGCCCTTTTAAATATCAGCATATAGATATTAAGATACTTAATGATAAGGACTTGGTAGGGGGAAAAGAGGAATGATGATTGTAGTATAGTCTAAACTCTAAACAGTTGTGCTAACAAACAATTTTAAGAATTGATTAACTTTCTTCATTTATATTACGAAAATTAAAAGATCTTTTACTTCATCATAGTTGTTGTTCGTAAGACAAAACCTACGTATTGTGCATCTTTGATGTTATGCTCGCGCATGACAAGCACAACCATATATATACAGTATAATATTTTATTTGTCAGCAAGCTGACAAGTTCGCTATCTATCTATCTATCTATCTATCTATCTATATATATATATATATATATATATATATATATATATATATATATATATATATATATATATATGCTAGTAATAATCTTTTGTATACAATAGCACCAAACCTTTGAACTCAACCATATAGGTTAGTATTTGCAGCACTATATAATTATTAAGCAAATAAATTACTAAATACTTGAGGCCAACCGACCACTTTCATACTATAGAATTCTGAATATTTTTTCAGTCAAAATTCCTAGCCAAACACGCCTTTATTCCCCCTCCCACCGTCCGTGGCATCACAGTCCATATCAAATATATATACACACAATACCATAAATCAAAATTCCATATATACTCCTTTCTCTACCTCTCTCACTGCTCTCCTTTCTTTCTAAAGCATTCGATATTCGAAACTCATTGCTATTTTTCATGGCGTCCACAATGCTTAAATTGCCAGATCTAAATATGAAATTTTCTACATTTTCGGGTGAGTTTCCAACAAAATTATCATCTTCATTATCATCAAAATTGTTACCAATTATGGCTTCTACTTCTGTGCATGAACCACTTGTAATATCAAGAAAAAATATTACTACCACTAACATTGGTCATAATATTATGACAACAACATTTAGTCATGATAGTAACATTAGTAGTAATACTACTAATAATACATTGGCTTCCATGTGGAGAGAAATTCAAGGGTCAAAAAATTGGGAAAATTTAGTGAATCCATTGGATAATCTTTTACAAAATGAGATTATTAGGTATGGGGAGTTTGTAGCTGCATGTTACAATGCTTTTGATCTTGATCCAAATTCAAAAAGATACTTGAATTGCAAGTATGGAAAAAATAGTATGTTGAATGAAGTTGGCTTGGGAAACTCAGGCTATAATATAACAAAGTACATTTATGCTACTACAGATATCAATGTTTTATCAATTGGTCAAAAATGCTCTAGTGGAAGATGGATTGGTTATGTTGCAGTTTCAAATAATGAAGAATCTAAGAGACTGGGTAGGAGAGATGTGCTCATCACGTTCCGTGGAACGGTCACTAATCCTGAATGGATAGCGAATTTGATGAGCACATTAACTCCTGCTCGTCTCGATCCAAATAATCTCAGGCCTGAAGTTAAGGTTGAAGCAGGATTTTTGAGTTTGTACACCTCGAACGAGGGTGAAAAGTTTGGTCTTGGAAGTTGTCGCGAACAATTACTTTCTGAGATACGGAGAGTAATAAATATGTATAAAGGTGAAGAAATGAGCATAACAATTGCAGGACATAGCATGGGAAGTGCATTAGCCCTTTTATTAGCTTATGATATCGCAGAGTTGGGATTGAACACAACAACTGTGCCTGAATCCCAAGTAAGTCAGAATCGACTACATGAATCCTCACTGGCTGTAACGAAAAATAACATCATACCGGTCACGATTTTTTCCTTTGGAGGTCCTAGAGTTGGAAATCTTGGCTTCAAAGACAGATGTGAAGAGTTAGGTATAAAAGTATTGAGAATAGTGAATGTGAATGATCCCATCACAAAACTTCCTGGGATTTTTTTGAATGAGAATTTTAGGGTTTTATTGGGTGGTAAATATGAGGTTCCTTGGAGTTGTTCATGTTATGCTCATGTTGGAGTTGAAATCTTGCTAGATTTCTTTAACATGCAAAACCCTACTTGTGTACATGACTTAGGAACTTATCTCAATTTGCTCAGAATTCCTAAGAGTAATTTGCAAGTTCAAAGAGAAGAAGGCAATGATTTCTTCAATATAGCAAAGGAGTTTTTCCTTTGGGGGCTCAATATTTCAATGCTTTACAATGGAGAAATAATGTTGCCATCCATTTGGTGAAGTTAGTTGAAACTAGCATAAAGGATATTATAAATAGCTTTAATTAACAATGTAACTGCACTTTTGGAAATATCATAGGTTGTAGTTTGCAAATATATGAGTATATATTTTTGTACAATTATTATAATTGTAACTAGGGAGTATTGCGAGGAAGGATGACTTTTACATTGTCCTTTTTTTGCATTTGATGATGTTATGTCCGTAACAATAGCCTTAGGGCACCGACTCTACGAAGTCACAATTGAATCTTTTTGTGAATTATAATTCAAAGGCGTGAAGCGAATACTTCTAAATGCTTAGCCTGCATCTTATTATATTGGCTATATTTGTTTTTGTCATGATAATGAATGAAAAGCGAGATGAGAGTGCCATTTTCAGATTGATTAATAGATAGCATATTCTATCATGCAGGAACCTATTACTTTGTAGTGATGCATATTATGTTATAATATATTTCATCGCTTAATTTCTACCCAAAAAAAAAGAGGATTTTGAAGGATGTGTGTATATTTTGTCGCTCTAATAAATATACGTATTTAATAAAAAATTTAATACAAATATAGTATTTTGACTAAATTTAATTGGTTCGGCCGAACCGGTAACTGTAATCAAATTATTAAGCTTTGTCCTAAAGGAACACAAATAATTGCTGAAAGTGTTCATTTTCCATTGCCTTTGCTGCGTATATTTATACAGTGGATTTGTGAATCCAAATCTAAGTAGATAAGTACAACAGATATTTACACAAGAGTTAGAATCTCAGTAAAACTAGGACTCTAGTTGAAAGCAATTTAAACTAACGGAATCACGTGGATAATGAAAAGCTGTTATGATTTTGAATCCCTTTATCATGCCCCCGCAAGATGGGCTGGATGGAAAGAAGACCAATCTTGTTGACTAGTTGGAGAAACGCCCGCTTAGGTAGGGCCTTTGTAAGGGGATTCGCTAATTGTTCACCTGTTGGTATATATCGCACGACAATTTCTCCCTTGGAAACTTGGTCTCGAACAAAATGAAAGTCAATGGCTACATGTTTCATCCTACTATGGAAAACAGGATTTTTACAAAGATAAGTAGCACCAATATTGTCACAATATATAACTGGTAACTTGAGCTGCTTTAAAAAGAGTTCACGAAGAAGATTAGAGAGCCAGTTCACTTCAGCCACTGCAGTAGCCACCGCCTTATATTCTGCTTCAGTAGATGATCTAGCAACTGTACGCTGCTTTTTGGATGACCAACTGATCGGATTAGAGCCAAGAAAAATTAAGTAGGCTGATGTAGACATGCGATCATCATGGTTGCCGGCCCAATCAGCATCAGAGAATGCTGTTAGGGACAAGGAAGAAGACTTCTTGAAGTGTAAGCCATAAGTTATAGTGTGCTTCAAGTATCGAAGAAGCCTTTTGACAGCCTGCCAATGCTTAGCAGTTGGAGAGTGCATGAATTGAGCTAATTTGTTTACTGCAAAGCAAATATCTGGACGAGTGAGCGATAGGTATTGCAAAGCACCAATAGCTCGCCGATACTCTTTTGCATCCGTTGGAGCAGAACCATCATTGAGAGACAACACTGATGAATTAGACAGTGGAGTAGACACCCCTTTAGCATCTAACATGTTGTGGCGTTCTAGTATATCGGATATATATTTGTGCTGGGTCAGAAGTAAGCCACCATTGTATGGAGTAACTTCTACACCGAGGAAGTAGTGTAGGCTGCCCAAATCTTTAAGAGAAAATCGAGAGGCCAATCTAGTAATAATAGACTGAACAGCAGACCTCGAGTTACCTGTGATAATAATATCGTCTACATACACTAGAAGAAATAGCAGAGACTCACCACAATGATAGATGAACAGAGAGTTATCAGAATGAGCATTAGTAAAACCACACGAAAGCAAGTAAGAACGAAGCTCCAAATACCAAGCACGGGGAGCTTGGCGTAGACCATAAATAGCTTTCTTCAAGAGGCAAACATGATCTGGAAATCGAGAATCCACAAAGCCTTGAGGTTGTTTCATAAAAATAGTGTCATGCAAAGTACCTTGTAAAAAGGCATTGTTGATGTCCAACTGATGGATAGGCCAACCAAAGGTGACGGCGATGGAGATAATAACACGTACTGTGGTATGTTTTGCTACTGGGCTAAATGTGGAGTCGAAGTCAAGGCCTGGTCGTTGGGTATATCCTTTGGCGACAAGGCGCGCTTTATAGCGCTCCACAGTGCCATCAGGATTGTGTTTGATTTTGAAGATCCATTTACATCCTATGACATTATGATGGGGGGATGGGGGTACCAAGGACCAAGTTTGATTGCGTTGTAGAGCATCAAACTCTACTTGCATTGCATTACGCCAGTGAGGATGTTGGCAAGCTTGGCGATATGAACTAGGAGCTAATGGAAGAGGAGATGATCCAGTTGTGGCTAAATAATCAAAGACCTCTTTTGGTTTGAAAATATTGTTCATTGACCGTGTTACTGGTCGATTTTGGTTGGGTGATAAAGCAGACCGGTTAGACTGGTTAGTTGACATTGGTGGAGTTGTGGTTATTTCAGAAGAAGTTGTTTGGGGATGAGTTGAGTCTTGAGGATGAGATGGGCAGGTGTAGTTTCCAGTAGTGTTAACAGTAAGTGTTGGATTGGGTTGTGCAGGGAGTGAAACAGGTAGAGAAGAAGAGAAAGGTGAAGTAGTTACCTGTGATGGTGATACAGAAGGCTCATCACTGATCAAGGCAGAGTAATGGGAATCTCTGTTCATCGGCGCCATTTGTATCTCATCAGATAGAAGAGCTTTGGAAGAAGTTTGACCTTCTCTAGTAGGTGAAGAAGATTCAACAGGATGAATTACCCATGGACCTATTTGTGTAGGATTGACACGAGGTAGAGTAGTTTGATAGTTTTTGAAGGGGAATACCGACTCTACAAAAATGACATGGCGAGAAGAGTAAAATTTCTGATTTTGAGGGTCGTAGCAAATGTAACTGCTTGACATTTTTTCATACCCCATAAATACACATGGTTTTGATTTATTGTCTAACTTGTGGCTTGTGTATGGCCTAAGCCATGGATAGCATAAACAACCGAAGACCCGGAGTTTCGAGTAGTTGGGAGCAATGTTAAATAATGTTTGATAAGGTGATTTATTTTTGAGAATCGGTGTAGGCATGCGATTGATTAAGTATATGGCTGCTTGACATGCTAGTGACCAAAAATAAAGTGGAACGGATGCATGGTGTAGCAGAGTAAGAGCCGTCTCTATGATATGACGATGCTTTCGTTCAGCCGTCCCAACATGTTGGGGAGTGTACGGTGGGCTGGTGAAATGTTGAATGCCCAGGCGACTAAGTAAAGAACGTAGGCCAATGTATTCGCCACCACCATCACTATAGACAGAACGAATTGATGTATTAAAGTATTTTTCAACTTGATTTTTAAAGTTATCAAAGACGGACATGATATCAGATTTTTGTTTAACTGTGAAAAGCCAAGAATACTTCGTAAAGTGGTCGACAAAAACAATATAGTAGCGAGACTTATCAAAGGAAGGAATAGGAGAGGGTCCCCACACATCTGAATACAGAATGTCAAGAGGTCTAACACTTTGCAAAGTATTTATTCCAAATGAGAGACGATGACTCTTATTACATAAGCAAGAATCACAAAAAGTAAAAGACTTGGATGTAGACACCGGAAGGTTCAATAACGAGACCATTGACTTTGTGACGCGAGGTTGAGGATGACCAAAACGAGCATGCCATAAATGTAGTGGTGGATGACTAGTTGACATTGCAAACTGAGTTGAAGGTGGGGACTGCTTGGCGACACGATCAATTGATGGCCATTCGTACAGATCCCCATTATTCTGGCCTCGAAGAAGGGATGCCCCCGTTCTCAGATCCTTCACGACAAAAGAATATGGAAAGAATTCAATGGAAGAATTATTTTGTCTACAAAACTTGGCTACTGAAATAAGATTTTTTCTTATGTGAGGTGCACACAGGACATTATTAAGCATAAATGAATTAAAATTAGAATTTGAGAGAGTGGTGTTTCCTATATGTGAAATAGGAATATCATTACCGTCACCAATGATGATCTCGTCCGTGCCAGTGAAATCTGATGCAGACATGAGGTTTTGTGGATCATTTGTCATGTGGTGTGATGCTCCTGAGTCAATCACCCACCGGCTATTTGACATGTTGTTACGAGCAGCAAAATTAGCTTGCATTTCAGCAGCAGAGTGAGATTTTGAGCGGCAAACTTTAGCTATATGACCAAATTTGTCTCAAAGTTGACACTGAACTCGTTGATTGTTGAATTGTTGCGGATTATATCCATTCTGATGTTTGAGATGATTGTTGGACTGTCCATTTGTGGAGAAGGACTTGCGATTGGTGTTGAAGTTGTTACTACGAGGTCGACTGTTTGAGGAGTTTCTCTGATTGAGTTGAGCAATGATAGTGAGTTGTTCCTTCTTGGCATCTTCATGCTTTAGGAAAACTTCATGACCAAGTAGTTTATCATATAGTTCTTCAAAGCTTATAGGTGTGTCTCGGGCTCGGATGGCTGCTGAAATTTCCTTAAATTCAGGACCTAAACCACTAAGGACTTTAATCGTCAACTCTTCGCTGGTTAAAGGAGATCCAGTGGCTGCCAGTTCATCCGCTAAGGATTTTATTTCACCCATGAAATCAGCAATAGATTTTGAATTCCTTCGCAGTGCGGATAGTTGTTCACGAAGTCCAAAAATCCGAGCCTGGGATTTGTTGGCATATGTAGTGTGAAGACATTTCCAAGCAAGTGCAGCTNAAGAAGGCTATCTTGCCTTGTCCAGATTTTGAGGCTGGGTTGGGCTTGCTTGAACCATCTGTTAGAAATAAGGAACTGTGGAGGACACAGTTCCGTGCCATCTACATAACCCATGAGATCATATCCAATAAGGAGAGTGGAAAGTTGAGCTTTCCATGTCGAGAAATTGTGACTGCCAGTGAGTTTGAGAGGTAGTTGGGATGCAGGATTAATGGTGATTAGTTGATTTGGTGGAGGGGCACTGCCACCAGTAGCAGCAACAACAATAGTATCTGAAGAGGACATTGTTGCTGGTTTGGTTTGACAGAGAAAAAAAAAAAGAGGTGTTCCCAGAATCAATTACTCGTTGGAGTCTTTGATGCTCTTGATACCATAAAGGAACACAAATAATTGCTGAAAGTGTTCATTTTCCATTGCCTTTGCTACGTATATTTATACAGTGGATTTGTGAATCCAAATCTAAGTAGATAAGTACAACAGATATTTACACAAGAGTTAGAATCTCAGTAAAACTAGGACTCTAGTTGAAAGCAATTTAAACTAACGGAATCACGTGAATAATGAAAAGCTGTTATGATTTTGAATCCCTTTATCATGTCCTACAGAAGTAATATTATTTTCTACTAAATCCAATTTTCAAGAGGTCTACGTACATGCTGTTGCAGCAATTTGTACAGAAGTTTAAAATTAAAGATTCTAATATGGACAAAATCATAGAGTCAAAAAATAAAATATATATGCGTCGAAGCCTGTTGTCTTCTCCTATTTTTTTTCCTTTTCTTATATTAATTCCCGACTCTGACTCATAAAAAAGATTATAAATAACTAATGATATAATATGGTGATATAAAACGATGAAAATCACTATGATTATGACTGATTACTCTTATTCTTTGTTCATTTATAGAATTCTTGCATGTTTAGAAACTAGCATTACAAATGCAATTATATGATATAATAATTTGCATCCGACAGGTGGACCCATTGTGTTGGATGGAGCTTAGTATACTTCCAATGTCTATGAGTTTAAGTTATATTTATGATATTAAATGTAAGAAATAATGACATAATATAATTACATCACATATAAGATAATTATAGGTAAATAATTTATAATTAAATTGATAAAAATAGTAATTGACCATGCAAAAAAAACTTTTAAAAAAAATGGAAGAGAAAACTAACCGTGTAATTCTCCAAACTCATGCAGTGTTGAAAGTCCAAAAGTCAAAAAATCTGCACACGTACACACACAACACACAAACAGTGTTGACTCAAAGACGTAACATTCCCTTCATATTTTTCATATGCTAATGTATTGTTACTAATTCTGCCTGTACGAGCTTCACATATTAGCAAACCCAAGTTCGGATAAAGGAGAAGGATTGCGATAATGTGACAGCTAGCATACAAAACGTACAAATTTATATTGAAAGTCGAACTCAATTTATTTGGGACTGAAGTGTAATTATTGTTATTTGTAAAGGGGGACTCCATCACACTTCCATACATATTTTTAGATCGCTTAAACACACAAAAACATAAAAAATTTCAGCAGTTGAACACATGAAAAGTAAGCTGAAATTGTAAGCTTTGGAAGTGAATCTTAGAGTGCAAACTTTTAGAAAAGTATAAGTCTTCTTTAGAGTTTGGTTCCGGGTTTCTTCTCTAAGTTTTCGGGCTGTTCAAACACGAATTTGCTGCTGGTTTTCTGCTGTTTTGCTGCTGTTTTTATGTTGCTTTTGTTGCTGAGCTTCCATTCTTCGTTGTTGTATTTATTATTCTGCGACTCAGGTAACTCTTTAATCTTATGTTGCAGATATTTTTACATTAACAAGAAGATTTGAACTCATCTTGATTGCTGGGAGCATATCCATTTAAATAAATGAGTGCTTAGCTAAATTTCTCTATTTTTTAAATATTTCTTGTTGTAGTTCATATGTAAAAATGAATCCTTGGTTGATCAAACACTCTTTATTCATGTGTTATTTGTCTTTACTATCTATTGTAGTTTAGATGCATATAAAATGAGATGCTTCAAGTAGGTTGCAATGTGTTTAAAGACTCCTTTTGCACCTTTGCAATTCTGGTCAGTTTATGATAGGCTATTCTTTTTTAAAAAAATAACAAAAGAGCCATGCTTGAAACCTTTATTTATTGTGATAAAAATTCAGATTTTACATGTGACCATCTCTGCTAGGACTTTAGATTTTTGGTAGAAAGTGGCTAAATCTTAAATAGGTGTTTGAAATTGCTAGTTAAAAATAAGGGTTAATGGCTTAGAGCAAAAGAGGCCAGACTCGCAATTTAGCCCAGGTGGGCTGTCTTAGTAAACCAGCATTTGAAATCCATTGGGCTTTCAGCTTGTGCCCATTTTCGGAGCCCAATAATGTGCCAAGGCAGATTCTGTCCAATAGGCCCAATGCCCTTTAAGAAGTCTATAAATATTTTGTCCATTTATTTTATAGATGTTGGCCCAATGCCATAACTAAATAAGCAAATTGACCCACTTTCTCAATAAACAAATAGCTGGCCCATCTTCTAAAATCCATAAGCTGGCCCATTTCTCCTTTTAACAAGAAGTTGGCCTATTTCTTTAAAATAGATGGAGTTGGTCCAACATTTATTTGCATAATTTTACCAACCATAAGACTAGAAGATAATAATAAAAATCAGATTTCTGTTATTAATTAATTAACACATTCTTTTTTTATTTTTATTAGTTGAAGCGCTAGGCAATTAGTAGGCACGCTTAAATCTTTTCATTCACGGATTCGCTTGCGTGGTGTGATATTTAACACTCAATAATTTAATTCACTAATCTCATACTATATCTATAGTTTTAGTTAAATTTCTAATCCTTTCACCACACTCACGGATTCGCTTACGTAGCGCGATAGTAACCTTTTTAATAGCGATAGCAACCTTTTAATAAATAATTTTCTCAAAGCATAAATATAGTAATTTTTTCTGAAAATAATAGCGTGCTAATAATCCTTTGTCATAACTGCGGATTCGCTTGCGTAGCGCTGTTACGACAAAATTAATAAAATTCATTTTGGTCGCACATTCGCTTTCGTAGCGCGGTTAGGACAATTTTATACTATTTATATCATATTTTTTCTAACAACTTTAACAATTAAAAGCGGATAAGTAAAACATGAAAATCATATAAATCACAGTTTGTCCAAAATTAATTCAAGTCAAGTTTTAAGTCAATAAAGCGACCGTGCTAGAACCACGAGACTAGGGGAATGCCTTATACCTTCTCCTCGGTCAACAGAATTTCTTACCCGAACTTTGTTTTCGCGGACCGATAAAAATAGAGTCAAACTTTCCTTTGACTAGGGATTCAAATAAAAGGTGACTTGGAACACCGAAAATCAATTCCAAGTGGCGACTCTGTAAATAAAATAATCTCTACTCAAATTTGTTACTTCAATTGGAAAAACTCTTTAACCCACAACAATCCATAAATACCTCTATATCTTTCGGGGGTGAGGGGGAGGGGGGGGGGTAAAAAGGGGTGACAGCTCTGGCGACTCTGCAGGGGAGCTACCAGAATTCGAGCTTGTACATGTTGACTTTTTGTTTGGCTTTATTAATTTTGCATATATTGTGATTTATTTGTGCAATGTGCTACCTGTTCGATTTTTACCGTTTGATATTGTTGAACTGTACGTATAAAATTTTTTTT